TGAGAAACTTACCATTTGTAGAGTTGTTTATCCGGAGTTTTTGTGCTGCTATGCATACGCGGGCTTTAAATTCACAGAAATTTCGCTCTTTGGCGAAGTCGGCGACATAAGAGAAAAGACCGACTTTGTTTATCATTTATGGTCGGTGGTAATAATGAATGCTTGATTGATATAAATATCGTCTTCAAAGTACTTGCAATATGATAGAAGCTGTTTTTGTTTTGTAGACATGGTTGTCACTGCGTGACAGTAATAGGAATATATGTAGATCTAACAATTGCGTGACACCTAAGTTTCTTGTTTCTGTGTGGGACACGCCAAATTAACTACGAGCCTTCTGCACAGCTTTCAGAAATAAAGCGAACCCTTGAATGGGAATATTTCGTTTAAAATCTATCTGCCAGGCATTGTGCGCTTTCATTCGTGGGGTCAGCCTCCTTTTTATTGTTGCCATCCAATGGTGTATTACCTCCAAAATTATATATCGTGTCGCAATTTGGGAGCAAAGAACCTCTTGTATTGACCTTGTACCTACTCGATGTTTCTGAACCAGCAAGTGCAAGGCATTCTGTACCTCATCTTCGAAGGCAATTCGGTTTTCAAAGTCTTCGTCTTTAAATGTAGTACGAATGCTACGAATGACGCGGTTGAGATCAGCCGCCATATTGGAAGGATGTCAAGTTGACAACCGCATGACACAACTTGTTTTCGCGGTCTCAGAAATGCGAATTTCTCGAGACAAATAACCCAGCGTGACATGTCTACTCATTGAGTACAAAATTAATGCTTTTGGAGAAAACAAAAACAACTTCTATCGTATTGCAAGTACTTTGAAGACGATATTTATATCATTCATGCATTCATTATTACCACTGACCGCAAATCATCAAAGTTTTATGCCGCCGACTCCGCAGAAGAGCGAAATTTCTGTGAATTTAAAGCCCATAGCATCACAAAAACCCCGGAAAAAAAACTCTACAAATGGTAAGTTTCTCATTTCTATTAAACGTTCATTTCACTTAGCACATATAAGAATAGTTTTTTGAAGCTACTCTACAGTTTCACACGGCAATTGAGTAAATCGATAGAAAAATCCGTATTTTATTTCAAATTTAAACAGTGATTCTACTTTTTCGTGAAAACATAGAGGAGACATTGCTCTAAAAGCCTGCGGAATAAGTAAGTTTTTCACTGCTTTTACAAGTACAAACGAGGCCTCCAAAAATGGGCTAAATTCGACCTTCGAATGACGCTAAATATGTGTAAGTTGAGTTTTGTCAAATTTCTCGAAAACAAAAGAATTTTTCAACAAACTATATATTTCTTGGTTTGTTTTACCTAATAGGCCTACCTAATACTAAAATATGAGCCAACTCGATTTTTTGACTTGCCGGTGAATGTTTGATTTTTCGTGACAACCTCTCAGCGAATTCCTGGTATTATCCGTTGGATTAACCCCAAACGAAATTTGGTAGTTGACCTGGTCTCAGCCATTTGATAATAATAAGGTTTTATTGAGGTAAAAGCTGTTTCAGTTTTCTCATTGTGATTTATTTATTCAACTCGCATTTTCAAACGGCTTATTTACGAGAAACTGCTCATTTCAAGTAATGTGTCAGTTTGCCGAATAAAAAATTTTATTTTTCTTTAAACCAATGAGCGCCTTTTTCGCGACATTGCGGAAATTACAAATATCTTTAGGGAAAATACTGAGATAATTTGAAGACAATCAGTAGCCTGCGGGCAGCCGAACGAAAACCCCGGAATAAAACCGGGGTTTTCGTTCGGCTGCACGCAGGTTAGACAATCGGGTATTCCTGCGAATTTTCAGTTTGGTAAAAAAAAATGACAAAAACTTTCCATAAGATTTCGAATTCAAGTTGATGTGTTTCTTGTCAAGATCACAACAGGAAACCCACTTGAACGGTGTGACCATTTGTATAAATGAATCAACAGAGCTGTAGGAACATGTCTTTAATCATCAAAATAAAGTGTATTTCACCTGAATGCTCCACATTGTTGCTTCTGGGTCAAAGGTCCACGAATTTTTGCGATTTCAACAGTTAGGCAGCGAAGTAACATTGCATTCAAGATGAACGCTTTCAGTTCGATTATAAATTGATCAAGAATACTAATCGGAGTTTAATATATACTGTGATAAGAAGCTTTTCAAAAATTCCATTTTCTCTAGATTTAAATATACAAACTCTCGCCCCAAAAGTGTCTTCGTCCTTCTGCTGATCCATAATGACATCGAGATACTCTCAATCGGACATCGATTTGGCTAATATGATCAACGGCCTCGTAGCTTTTAAGTGTTTAAAGGTTTTTTTTTTCCAATTTTTTAGGCTGCCAACTGCTCCTCCTTAACTTAACGGAGATCTACTCTTGATTGAATCGTAAAAGTTTTACAATAATTTTCAAAACCATAAAAGCCGTTTTGAATAAGACAAAGAAAACAGTTTTGTTTGACGTCAGCTTTGTGTCTCTACTCTTAAAGGTAACAATCAGTCATGGAACACCTGTTGGTTGCAAGGATGAGAAAAAACCTATTCAATAGAAACCATGAATTCTCTTCATCATTCTTCGTCTCTTTTAAGCTTTTGCCCCAAAGGCCTTTTGCTCGACCACGGATATTTATACTCTATGTACAATAAGAAAGTTACCAGTAATCTGAGATGCTCTTCCACTTTCGATGACCTGCAAAAGACCATAAAAGACATAAAGCGCTGAGATTCTTTCAATGCAAACCTTGGACAACATTAGAGCTATATTTCTGCTGTTTTAAAGAGGCTTTGCGTAAAGCTCTATTTCCACATACTGTGAAACACCGTGCAAGAGGCTTTCAAATATACCTCCTGCCAAGACATAACCTTCAACATTCCCGGATTGTTGACGGCAAAGTTCATGAAAATAAGTACTTAATGTTAACACCAAACTACATAGGAAACATGCTGACTTTAGAGCAACGACTTTGTCACTGATAATAAATTATTGATAATATATAAAGAAAGCGTTGTCTGATAAACTTTTACATTGAAATTCTTCAAACCCTTGAGTATTCAAGTCAAATTCATGACAGAATTGACTTAACTTTCGTTTAGGGCTGAATAAGCTGCCAGAGAATTCTGAAAGCATCCAAATTGAATTGGAGTGTATACAACGAGATTAGGCCATCACGCAATTCCTAGAGAAAACAGAATATGACTAAACCTTACCATGAACAAAACTATAAGAAGTACACAAGGATTTGTCGTCCATAAATCATTCCGATATTTGGAGAACATGGCAGTTTTATGCTAGATGGACAACTTCCCCTGTTGGAACTAAGAAAAACGACACCATCAACTAATTAAATCCTTGATTAAGATTTTAAAATTTATATATCAGATGGAAGGGTAAAATCTCAGTTAATAAAAATATGGTGCCTGTATGCTACTGTTATTCAAAAAGCTTTGAAGAACACGAATATTTTTGGAAACACACAGAATGCTAATGAAATGACGAGTTTTGGAATGACATTTTAGTCCACATTCTTTCAATGCAAGTGACAGGAATAAATAAAAAGAGGTTTATTATTGTAAACCAAGGCAAAATGATTTGGGAAGAATTCAGCGTTGTGTCATCACACTTTCGTTTACCTACGAATTATTTTACTGACTTTGATATCTGCGTTAACTATATGAGTGAATCATGACCTTAATTTATGTTCCTACTTTTGTTTGTAAAGTATAAAAAGCATAACAAATTATAACGATGTGAGAAAAATCTGATATTTTACGGTTACTTACCGATCTACTGTTAACTTGTGCTGATACGCACCAAAGCCTGAGTTAAAATGTTGGATGTGTACGTCAGAGAATAAAGGAATTGAATTTGTTTTGATCAAACTAACACAAACACAATAACCATACACCTACCTAAATTATTATTTGCATTAACGACCGTTTGGAGTTTAGCTGACGAGAACGACAAATAATGTTACAATTTATATAAAAGATATATTTTCTTAAATGTCTCCATAGTGCGTTCGAAATTCATTCAAAAACAGCTCGATAGCAAATGAAGTTAGCCTTCATGATGGAGAAAGCTTGTCATTTACTTTCCTTCGATTAAAGATTCCCCGTGGGGAAATAATTAAATTTAACAAAACAGCAGACAAAATGGTTTGTATAGGACGTCAGTAAGGGGTTATTGATGGTTACTGGATAACAATACTCCTCTGTTTAGGAAGGTCACATTAAAAATTTAAAAGTAGAAATTCATCCTCGTTCATTTCACCAAAACCAGCCTTGATCGGCCTCCCAGTTAGCTCAATTGGTTAGAGCGCCGGATTTTGTTATGCGGGAGGTCGAGGGTTCGAGCCCCAGCCGGACCGATACTCATGGTATTTAAACAAGTGAGGAGAATTTGCTACCTTTCTATAATATCAAGAAATGGATAGATATTCTAGTTTTCTCGGATAAGGACGAATAAACCGTAGACCCCGTCTCCCGCAGGGTTAGGGGTAGGAGACGTTAATTTCCCACGCATGAGATTACTGTGTCGTGGATGTCCTTTCTTGGGTGGGATGGGTGGGAATTGGCTCTGAAAAGCCCCCATGGGGAGTGGTCAACTAACCTGTGTAACCTATGTAAATTAACAACACTTCATAACGAACATTCTGGTCACCTCAAGATTTATTCGGCGCTGTGTTACAGGTGTTTCAAAATGATTCATCTTGGTCGCTGAGGTAGCCAATCAGAATGAGGGATTCATTTCATCTTGCACACTCCCTCACAAAGCTTAGTATTTCATTTAAATTCCTACAATGGCACATAGTTCAGAATACTTCCTCCATATTGATTCCATTTTATTTACTCTTTTGTCGGCAGTTAATTGTATTATTTTCAAGAGTCTCCACTCGCCGGAAATTCTTCGGGTACGGTTTTCCGCCATGAGAAAAGACGACTTCCTTACGTAAAGGCTCGCCTCTTCGCAAGGATTCATGGGTCGGGAAGACTAGCAGTGTTAGGCGTTGTCAAAACCTGAAGCATATTCCATGTTATCATCCACGTAGAAAACAAAGAAAAACAATTACACCCACAAGTTAACATGCATCTGGTGAAAGTTGTTTTCTTTTCAGCAACTGTACAAGTTGGTAAGTAACGGATTATAGAACGAGAGTTAGACTTACTTGTATGACTATGTAAGGGACAACGATTTTACTCTTGTACAGTAAAGAGAGTTTCAAGACACAAGTTCTGTATTTCAATGCAACAACCCAGATGGTGGCAACCATTATGGTTGCACCACATTTTCCGCTATTTAATTCAGCCGGCAAATACATATTAAGGTAAACTCTTAGCTTTTAGCACTTCATGTAGATCGAAGGAAAGCCTTTCCGATCGGTACTAACTGCTGAAGCCGGCTAGGAACAGTCGCTATTCACTTGAAGGAACAGTTAAATAATAGCTTCACTTTATATCTGAGTAATCTCCAGCCTATCTGATGCCACATAGCGCTTGAGTCAAGGCTTGTCAAAACCCATACGTACATGCTTAAAGAAAATTCCATTGGGATACAAGAGTCCACCACACAGATTAGCAGCATGGCATCGAAACAATACTTTGTAATAGAGGGCATTATTAAGTAACTGTCCTTTGTGATGCATCTTGGTCAATTCATGTGACTTACGATATGGTTTCAATAGTTAAAGAGTCATGCCGCCCATACAGAAGACCTTTCTTCAAGTTCATACTTTCCAATCATATTTATGGACCAATTTTTTATCTTAGGTGCAAAGTTGAGGGTGACACTAATGCAGGTTATCCAGGCTTATGACCGTTTTTTAAAACGTCACGAGATATCACTTCGCTCGCAGTCTCACACATAATCCCTCTGGCAGTGACACAATATAACATAAAGATATGACCAGAGTTAATTCCACTTTTATTAAATGATTTTGCGTAGATGTGATTGAATAACACGATTCTTTTACACTTCAGCCAAATTTGCATGTTATTTTTCAACTGTGCGTATCAGCCTGGGGGCTGTTTAAACTGTCAGCACCAAGACAGGTGGCCGCTTTCATAATTTCACCAAATGAACGAGACATGCGTATTCACCTTACTGCTCAGTATAGATTTGCCTTGATCTGTTAATAAGAATTCAGTCTTTACGTAAAAGGGAATACATACTTTGATATTTGAAGAATGCACGCCTGAGTTCTCAGCATAGGCTTTTCCTTAACCTACGTGTAGCCGCAACCTTCCCCCGATTTTCCTCTAGGGGAGGGTGAGGTTACATGAAGACTAGCTTTTCCTTCTCTTTGTTTTTTCTTGAAAATATATTTGGGTGTCGATGTTATCATATTTTTAGGATAAAACTGCTTACTGAGTTTTTTTTCCCATATCATTACTTTAGGTTTATCTTTGACGTGTTATACTTGCCATTCTTCCTCAAACTGGACTCAATGTGATACAAGTCGAACAAAATACGTTTGCGAGCCCTGGTTGGATGTTTGCACTAAGACAAGAGCAACTTTCGACATCCAGGGAAACAAATTTGATGTTTACGAGCGCGGATGTTTTGTAGGCGATTTTTGTAACACAGTGGCTTGCAAGCATATTGGCCAAGCCGAAAACTGTGATATCACGTGCTGCGACTACGATTTGTGCAACGATACTGCCTTGCTAACATCAAATAAGATTTTCATCGTTGTTCCAGTGATTTTCATCTTCTTCGGGTATGCTGCTGATTGATCGCAACCAATCCAAGCCAACGATGGTGATTATAACTTCTGCACTTTGATATTTAGGAATTTTATTAAATGCTGGCGGTAACATGTTACTTAGTCGTCTAGCGGGCTACGTTGGACTTTGGACTTTGTTCAAGAAATTATTCATGACTTAAGTTAAAGGCATGTTCTGCCACTCTTGGCAAGAGATTTTTGTGTTCACACTCGTGTTTGTAATTCAAGGCCATAGAGAGAGGGGGAGTAAGTGCTTGAAAATGTATGTCCGAAAAGATGCTGAGCAAATCACCGCAGAGATGTTGTTGACTGGGGACAATGCATTACAAAAGGAGCCATAAGGGACCTACTGATCTGTTGATATGTACGTCTTGCTATTTAAACATAGCGACCCCATATTTAAGGCGAGAAAGATTTCTACGATCAAAACAATGTGCTCACGGCAATTTTATTTTATCGGCATTTTTAACGCGATGTGTTTTTTTGTAGCAAACACGTGAGGATAAGATAGTTATGGAATTTTTATTGAACTGATAAGTAACATTCAAGCTCATGAGTTGGTGGGATTAAAATTGAACGAAAAGAGTTACAGTAATTGATGAACGTGTCCCCGAGTAGGAAATTACTCTAAGAAATTGGACAAATTGCTGTCCTCGAATATTTGTATTAAGTCTGAAGAGCACGAGAAGAGCTCGCATAAGGCATAGGTAAGTTCCTTCCGCACGTCCTTTACCTAGCCTTTTTTTGCACCTTTATGATAAATGGGATTTCTGGAGTCAAGAATTATCACAAACTTATCTAGCATCAAATAACTGAAGGGCTTTGTATGGTCGAGTATTGATTTGCATGTAGAGTTACACCTTGACAATGACCAAGACAACTTTGCATTGACGCCAATAGGTTTATTGATTTTTCACCAAATATATAGGACATATTAATAAAAATGAGACCCTCCTTTGTATATAATTTTAGCCACAATATCTGACCAGACGATTAAAAATAAAAGGAATCAAATCGTATCTCAGAGTTTCTGATTGTCTCTGGTAGAACACAAAGATTGTAGATCGATCGCAAATCGTTAGATAATGAGACGACTGAAAGCTTTCTCCATTCACGCGAATACATCTCGTGCGACTTCACACCGGCGTGAGTGATGTAACGGCACACACGCACGCACGCACGCACGCACGTTTCACACAGATTACCTGTCACAAAATCAACGAAGAACCAGCACCCAAAAACAATAAAGGTGATCACTCGGTAACTGTGGTGACAGCTTCATGAATCGCCTCGGCGATGTAGTGCACATTCTGGCGAGTGATCCCACAGATGTTTACCCGTCCGCTGTTGAGCAGGTAGATGTGGTAAGACTTGGCTAAGAATTCCACTTGTTTAACTGCAGAAAAAACGCAATTTGATCATTTCAAATCACGCTTGATTCCATCATGAATTCAGTTAAACCCCACTCATAAATTCTCACAGTAGATAATCTAGATTTGTTAGTATTTTCTGAAGTACCATGGAACCCCTTACATATTCCCCTCAAACTAAGCCAGACATTTTCCTTGATGTCAAAACGGTGAATTGAGTTATCATTTATGGAAACCGTGCAATCGTGTAACAAAACCACTCACCACTCAATCCTGTAAATCCAAACATTCCCTTCTGTTCCACAATATGGTTCCATGTGCCTGGTGTTCCAAGTTCCTTCAGCTTGTTGTAAAGTAAATTTCGACACTCTAAAATACGTCCAGCCATCGTCTTTAAAGTTTCACGCCTGAAAGTCACAAGATCTCAAATTTATAGGTGTGATACATGAACTGCACATTTTACAACCACGCTTCAATCAAAAATATCCTTTTGGTATTCCAACAGAAATTTTGGCAAAACTATAATCCTCGTCACAAATGGTGAAACATACCCCCCCCCC